CTAACTCATGCTTACGAAGACATCCTATGTGCCAGGCACTTTCCTAGCCTAGAAATAGAAGTTCTGTTTGACTGGAAGGTGGAATATGTGGGGCAGGAGGTCATAGGGTGAGAATGAGGAGGTGGGCTGTCACTATGGGTAAACATCCTTCTGGAACTGGCTAAGAAGCTGACCCTTTATCCTGAAAGCCAAGAGAGGAGTTTGAAGGGCTTTAAGCAAGGAATAATTGGAGCCACATTGGTTCTAAATGAGGAAGATCTCTATGAATATATATGGAGTGATTCATAGAATAGAATAGATTGTTAAGTGAGGAAACAATGAACAAGCAATATATAATGTGCTATTTTTGTGTAAGAAAGAAAGGAAAATAAGATATCCTTTATGGGCTCAGTTGTGCAAGAATAAGCCAGGGAAGTTGTGCAAGAATAAGAATAGCATTCAGTGACAGGTGGGAGTAAGATGGAAAGAGAGGGATAGAAATAGAGCAAAATGGATGGGGAAACATGTTCTCGGAGTACATCTTTTTAGTAATTCAGAATCTTGAAATCATACTACAGAGGATCTATGGGAATGGAAGAAAAAACACTTAAGTGAAGGACAAACAGTAGGCAATGGAAGTGAGAAAGAGCTGACCCAAGCAGCTTTGGAAAAGAGTATTTTGAAGAGGACATGGTGGCTAAAAAACAGAAGAACAGTAAAGAAATCATGAACTCTGTTTTTCACAGAGGTATGGACAAGCAATTCTGAAAGTACTTTGTGTGTGTTTTAAGACTGAGCAAATAAGTATATTGAAGGTAATGGAAACAGATTTGTTGAAGAAAAGACTTTAAAAATAAGAAACCAGGGGAAAACTAAAATGGACCCTGTAGTATTGGACTAGAGTTGGCAGTGTAAGTGTAAACTCAGAGTGACAGCAGCCAAACACTGGCGTGAGACGTGTGCATATATACATATATTTCCTAGCTCCATCCCTGATAGAACCTGGAAGCAATGACAAACCCCCGTAGCAATGAGCACATGTAGTGTCCACACCTTGCTTTCACATATCGCTTTCCCCTAAAGGGAAGCATGGGTCCGTGATGGAAAAGCTGACTTCACAACTAGAGCTGAGGAGGTCAGGATGGACCTGAAACATTTGGTAGTGCCAGAACATACGGGGTTGCTTAGAATGCAGGGAATATGTTTAAAAGCCAAGGAATCCCTTGGAATGAGCTTCTGTTATTCAAATCTGGGAACAACTTAAAAATTCAAACAAATAAAGGTAGCAATGTACTACAACTCATTGAATAAATAAGTGTCCATGAATTAATTAGATACATATTATATATTAATGTAATATACGTTTGGATTATATGGTTATTTACTATTTCTATTTATGTTAGGATATATAGCAGTATAGTACTCACAGTGTATATACCAACATAAATAAATTTATATATATATGATGATATACGCATGCTGATGCAAACAAAGTAGGGAACCCCTTGCAGTAGACGTCTAACCTAGTAAATATAAAAGGAATGATGGAATTAGACAGTCATTAGCATAGTAAAATCAGGCAAGAGTTATTGGGGAAGCAAAACTTATAAGATTAAACAGTCTGGAGCAGGATAGGATCAAGATCAGAAACCTGTTGCACACTAGAGACCTTTCTCCCAACTGCTGTCAGCTGACTACTTAAACTGAGTGCTAAGGGTTGACTCTGCAGTAGGGCAAGAGCAGCAATTATTATTGTGTATTCTCCATGTGACAGGCATTATGCTGGGGGGTGGAGCTGGCTTTTTTGCTTTTTGTATCCTAAGACCAACTCAGTGAGCTTTTTCACTAATATTCTCAATTTTAAAGGTCAAAAAAAAACAAAATTCAAGAAATGAGAAATTTGTCCAGAGTCAAATACCTAATAAGGGCCCAGACTCAAATTCCCTGCCTTCTGGTTTTTAATTGAGCATTGTTCTATCAGGCAGTATGTCTCTGGATCCTCTTAGAACTCTGCTTCTGAAAGTGTACTGAATAATTAAGCCATAGAGGCATTCTTTTTTTTTTCTTTTTTGAGACAGAATCTCCCCATGTAGCCAAGTTGTCCTTGAATTCACAATCCTCCTGCCTCTGCCTCCCAAGTGCTGGGATTATAGATGTGTGTCACCACACCCAGCTCATAGTGGTATTCTTAAACAAAAGCATTTGGTGACTCCTTTTTTTTTTAATTGTTGTGCAGGGTGGGTGGTGACTTCTTTTTTCTCCTCACTGTATTTACTAAACATGTTCCTCACTTGTAAAATAGAGACAGCTATACAATTATGAGTCACTTAATGGCAGGGGCACATTCTGATTGCTGTTAGGCTCATTGTGCTAACATCATGGAGTATACTTACATAAGCCTAGATGGATAGGTCAATCACTCCATGTAGCCTCTTAACGCAATCAAGAGACATGATAAACAGGATGTGTGAGGGTGCTGCTGGCATAGCATAGCCTGTTTTACAGTAAACTTTATGTTTACCAAGTGAAGGAGCACACTTCAAAATAATGATAAAAACTATAGTATAGTAAATACATAAACAGTGACATAGTGGCTTCTTGTCATTACCAAGTATTATGTACTATACATCATTGTATGTTATACTTTCATTCAACTAGCAGGACAGAAGGTTTGTTTATACCAGCATCACTACAAACACGTGAGCAATGTGTGGAGTCCTGACGTTATGAAGGCTAGAACATCACTAAGCCATAGGAATCTTCTAACCCCGCTATAATCTTATAAGACTGCTGTTGCATATGCAGTCTGTTGTTGCTCAAAACGTGGTTATGTGGCATGACTGTACTTAATGTACATGTTGCTATGTTGACAAAATTAGATTATATATGTAAAGCACAATGCAAAATGACTGTCCATTAAATGATAACACATCAGTGGTACTACAATTATAATGTTGAATTACCTGGTAGGATGGAAAGTGTTGTAAAGGACGTCCCTTACCTTTGAACTGAACTGACCACCAGGAAGCAGATCAAAAGGGTTCTGTGTATCATACAAAGATTATATCCTATTTTGTAGGCAATAGAAGGCCCTGAAGAATTCTATTACCAGGAAAGTGATTTGGCTGGCAATTTATAGAGCAAGTCAAAGGGAGGAAAGCAAAATTCAAGGTAGAGAGAACAGTTATTGTCAAAAACTAGGCAGGAGATGAGGAGGCTCATCTCCAGGAAAGGGCTGGTGTGATGGAGAAGAGGGAGTGCCCAACGCACAGTCACACACCTGGATTGGTACTTGGTTCTGGCAGGAGAGAAAGGTGGTGGAGTTTAAGCTGAGGCTCAGCCTCTGACCTGGGTATTGGCTCTTCTGGGATATGACCCAAGTGTAGAGAGGAGTAGGTTGGAATTACTGATCAGTTTAAGGTGGTTTGGAACTTACAATGGAGTCATGGTGGATAATTGGATAATTAGAGCTGGGTGGAGGATTGTGAATATTCAGATTCAGAACAAGAGGAGAACTCAATGCTGGAAATTCTTTGAAGCTATGGAGGGGATGAAGTCCCTCAGAAAGGAAGGTAGGGTGGGCAGAGGATGGGGATAGGATTTGGGAAACACCAATGTTTGAAGATGGCAAACAAAGAGGCTGAGATTGAGGAGAGGAATACTCAGAAAGATAAGCAAGGCTCATGGTAAGCATTTTCTGCCATGACAAAGGCTGAAGAAAAAGTAAATAAAGGAAGGAAGTACTGAAAGGTGCCTGTGGGAGTAAGAACTGGGGACTGAGGAACAGAATCTAGTCTGCTGGTAGATTAAGGAAAAGAATTGGCCTTTTTTAGAGGAAAGAGGTTAGACTTGCACGCTCCCAGAGATGCAGGTGTCTCACCTCCATCATACACTCTCAACCATGGTCCTTCATGACAGAGCTAGAATCTCTGTCCCTCCAGCATCTTCCCTCAGCTCTAGTTCAGCTCTCCAGGTCCAGGTCCACACCAGGCAAGTCTACACACCCATCCAGAGAACGCTCCACATATGCTCCCTCTGTGACCTCCAGCCTGCATTCCCTCATGCTGTAAAGTCAGTCCCTGGGAGTGGTCCTGTCTTATTAAAATGGCATATTCTTTACTAATACCAGAGCCCGTATTTTGGTTGTTTTTTATTTCTTTTCCTAGTATATCAATGGTTTCCAAGCATTTTTTTAAAAACCTTAACCCAGAACAAGAGATATAATCTTCATTATGATCAGTATTCATATGTACATATACACATGAGACAGCTCATGAAATAAAACATGCTATGGTTGATACATTCTAATGTTTTCAACTCCTTTTCATTCTATACTATTCTATTTCCTGTTTTTAAGTGCTGGTCTTGACCCACTACATTAATTTTATTCCCCACAAAGCTGACTTAAGGAAATATATCATACTAGAAGAAGATCAAAGGAAATGATGCTCAATGTTTGTCTGAATTCATTTCACTTCCCTTTGCCCAAGCTACAGCCCCAAAGCTGGCAGGCCTTCCTTCTAACTTCCTTTTGATGACTCTGAGAGGACAGAGAACTGCTTTTGACACTAGATCTTAGCTGCCTTGGGATTATTCACATTTCCAAAGTTGCCTGCCAAAGCCATGATGGTGGAATTTAGAAATCAGTGGAGAGAGAATGGCATATCTTTCAGATCACCTCCCACAAAGCTACTGTTCCACTCATGAGGCATCTAACAGCCCAAGACATTTTTATTCTGTCCCCTAGGGTAGCCCTAATACCACCTGCATAGGAGCCTTCTAAACTTTCCTGGAGTTTAGAAGTTTAGCTCACCTATTCACAGGCTGCTTTGCCATAGACCTCCAGCTAGTCAATAAAGTAGGGTTTTGCTGGTCTGGTCTTGTGCCCTCCTCAGACTTCCCAGTGCAGACCTTGCTCCCTGGAAAACAACTCTACCATTCTCCTCTGTATATCTTTCCACAGAGAACATTTGGGAATCTATGTTTTTAAATTCTAACATTCTCATTTACAGTGACTTTTCTGAAGAGCCTTGACTACAACAGGAGGATGTGGCCTGAGGAATAGCAGAGGTCTTTTCTCCGCTGCCAAAACGCACCCACTGCCACCATAGACACTTGAGTCCTCAAGAAGTCTCCTGGAGGCCTGAATCTACTGCAAATCTGCCATGAGCCAGGCCCTGAGCTGGGCCTCAGCTTCACCCTGGTGAGCAAAAGTCTGTCCCTGGCCTCAAGGCACTCACACTCAGTTGAACGATGGGTGAAGAACGATGGGTCTCTCTCACTTCAGAAGAATTTAATCAACTCCAGAAATACTCAGAATGTAAGTAAATGCATTGACAGAGGGGTAGGATTTTCCCTCTGGTATAATAACTGTAATGCCATCAGGAATGAGGTCAGGCCTACAACTTCTATTGCCTTATAAATGCAGAATTAGTGTCTTTAACACAAAGTCACACTTACCTTTAGGGTCTATAAATAATACTTGTTCACCACAGAATTTAGAGTACACGTGGAATAAAAATAGAGTGAATTTTAAATCACCAATAAACTCTATTAACATGTTGGGGCATACTGTTCTTTACATGGTTGAGTTCTAACCGTATATATCTTTTTCCCCCCAAGCCTGTATTTTCCACCCAACATAGTATCATACATATTTTCAGGTTTCAATGAAACCCCTTTACAGCATAATTTTGAAGGGCTGCTGGCTGCATGGTTTCCATGTTACTCAGTCACCAGGTTTAATACACTCTTGTGTTTGGACCCAGAGAGATTCATATTTACACACTGGCACACAGCCATGTCCCCAACAGGGCACTCAGAATCCTGATGGGTGACAGGAATCTGCTTGGGCTAGTCTTTGGGCAGACACCTGTATGACCTCTGCCCCCTGCATCATCATTATTGTGCCCTGGCACTAAGTTTCTTCAGAGTCATTTGTCTCCAGAGCTTCCCTTCACCATCTTGTTCTAATTGCCTCTCCCTTCCCATTAATTGTGCTGGTGCTTTTGTAAATCACTAGGCCTGCAGCTTGTTGACCTGCCCTCCCCAGCTCATACACAGGTTCTCTCCAATTGCCCTTTTGGCAGCCACTCCTCCCTTGTTCATAGCACTGGTCTAGGAGTCAGGGGACTCAGCCCAAGAGCCAGCTCTGTCTCTTGCTCCTTGTGATGTGGCAGCCCTTAACACTTCTGAGACTCCACATCCTCTTCTGTACAAGAAGGTTAGACTAGGTGGTCTCACTCTGTGGTCCCATCCAGGCCTATCATGCTGTGAATCCACATGCTCCCCAAGATCAACAGGAGCCCCACAGGGTACTGTTCAGTCTCCCCCCTGGTACTCTGGGGCCCATGCTTTCTTGTCTAACCTTGATGGGTCTAGAGAAACTCTGTAATGTATTGACTGGGAACAAGGAAGCACCCTCCAGAGTAAATTCAGTTTAACTCAGCCTGCTCTGTAGATCAGCAAAGTACTAAGCCCGGTCAGAGATAAAAAAGAAGCACAAAGAAAGGGCCTACACTACAGGGATTGGAATCCTGTTAAGAGGTCAGAAATGTGCTTGTGACACAAGCAGAGAACAGCTCTAAGGCAACAGGAATCAGGTCTGGTAGTGCTCGCCAACAGAGTGTGTGAAGGAGAAAGGAATTGAAGGCCAGGGGAAACTGTATGGGAGGGGATGTGTACACAACATGAGGGAAGTAAGCAAAATAAATTTATTGTATCCAAATTGTGGAGTTTAGAAATCCAAAATCAAGTTGGCAGGTTGGTTCCTTCTGAGGGCTGGAGCAGAGGACCTGTCTTAGGCCTGCCTTCTCAGCTTGTAAGTGGGCATATCTCTCCCAAATCTTTTCACTTGGTTTTCTCACTGTGTGCATGTCTCTGTCCAAGTTTCCCAATTTTATAAGGACATGGTCTTACTGAAGTGGACCCACCCTACTCCAGTATGACCTCATCTTAACTAATTACATGTGCAATAGCCCTAGCTAAGGTCCTATCTTCAGGTACTGGGGCTGGGGCTTTAACATATGAATGGGGAACACAACTGAAGCCCTATCAGAGGATTTAGCTGGGGAACTCAAAGGAGGAAAGAGGTTTAAAACGTGGGTAGTAGATAGGAGAGGGGACAATGGCAGCAAAGGCAGAGGGCCCAGAGTGAAGAGTGCATAGGGTGTGGTAAGCAGAGCTATCGCTGGATGACAAGAAGGAGCAGGAGGCTGGGAGAGGTGTGAGGAGGGATAGGGACCACAGCAGAACTTGGTCTTGCATGTCAAGGTATGGGTCTTGGACCCAGGTGGCAAGATGTAGAGCATGAATCTGTGCAGGGTGGTTCAGATCAGATAGCTGCCAGGTGAGGGAGTCAGGCAGAGTCCTTTGGATAAAATCTAGTCTGAGCTGAGGAATAAGGCTAGAATGGTGAGTGTAGCAATGAATGAATGCTAATTTGTGGGGAAAATGCATTGGAAATGCCATCAAAACTTGAAGATACCTCGAGACTGAATCTAAAGTGGCAAACAGTAGGATGTAGGACTGGTGGAGACAGCATGGGATGTTGACTTTGAAATGGTGATGACACATCCACTTGATCACTCATGCATGCCAGGCTCCAGGGAACCAGCAAAGAAGGAGATGCAGCTCTTGTTCTCAAGAAGCTAACAGCTTCGTGGGGGGAGACACACAAGATTCATCAGTGACATCATAGTAAAGCAGGTACTGAGAAGTGAGTAGAGTAGGAGGTCTAGTTCCACTCAGTAGAGGGCTTCCAGGTATAGATATTGTTTTCAAACACAGGCTGAGAGCCTCAGCACATGTTGGTGGGGGGTGGGAGGAGTTGGAGGAAGACTTAGAAGGAAGCAGGACCCCATCACTGAATGAGATACCTGATACATCTCTGAATGAGATACCTGATATGTGGTGGGTTGTGAGTGGGAATGAGGTACTAGGCTAACACTCTGACTTGGGACTCATGCATGGAGGTGATAGAAAAAGAAAAAAGTAGAAAAGTGAAGGTACCTTAGAGTTATAAAGTATTAAGAGAAAGAAGAGGATAGAGAATGTGGCTTAGGGTGTGCTCTCATTTGGGGTCAGGGAAGGAAAAAGAGTCAAAAGACACAGAAACAAAAATTCATCCAGGTAAGAAGGAGTCAGTGGGGCTGGGTGAGGTGGCACAGGCCACTAATCTTAGCATTTGGGAGGATAGTGAGTGCCAGGCCAATCTGAGCCATATAGTGATACCCTGTCTCAAAATAAACAGTAAACAAACAAAATTTAAAAAAAGAAATTGTCCAGAATGAAGGGAGATAAAGAGGGATCCAGGTATGGCAAAGCAGTTGAGGAATGGAGGGATGAAAATAAAATGCAGAGTCTTTTGGAAGAAATCTAGTTTGAGCTGAGGAATGAGTCTAGAATGGTGAGTGTGACAATGAGGAAGAGGCTCTTTCCTTCAACCATCATCTTTATCCTTCCTTAACCCTTCCTCATATTGTCCATGCCCTAGGCCTAGACAAGGGACTCTGGTAATGTTGTTCTAGTGAGAGGAAAAAAATGTAAAATTCTTGGGAAATGATTACTCCTCAGAGGGAACCCTGAAAAAGTGACTTCCACCAATTTTAGACACATTCTGGTATTCATTTGGATTGCATTGCCATAGCAACCACTCTTCCATAACCATATAAACAGGAGTTTTACAATAGCAAAATAATGAAGTATGCAGCCTGAGAGTTAAGAATGCTCTCCAGTGGGGTTACCAGGTAGGAGAGGCTCTTGGTGTGTTCCATTTATGTTACATAAACCTGCACATTCTCTGGAGGCCTTTGGGGGAGAGGGAGAGAAGCCATCTTAAAAACATATTTATTTTAAATGTATACAAATAATCACATACATATAACAAACATCTATACTTGACAGTAAACAATGTGAATTAGCAATGTAAAATGCTTGTCAAAAAAAATTAATGTCGAATTAAGAAATTTTATTAGGAAATAAAAACAAAGTAAAAAATTTGAAAAACAGGTGAGATTTAAAGTTCCCCATCATCGTATCTCCCAGGGATAACAGCTACAACCATATTTTTATATAAGAATAAATACATAAAATACAAAAATACATATGTGCACGTATGTGCATACATATGTGAAACAAATGGGAATACACCTGCTATGTTTTTTTGTTTGCTGTTTTGTTCACTCTAACAATGTGTTTGGTATCCATTTCTACATCAAAACAGCTTCAAAGCTTGTGGCTTTAAGCAGTAGCCATTTTGGCTTTTCCCATGATTCTACAGGTTAGGGATCTGGACAGGACACAGCAGACATAATCAGCGTCTGCTCCACATGTTCGGGCCCCAGGTGGGATACTTCAAACGATGGAGCACTAGACCATCTCATGATGGTACCTTGGAGTTCCTCCATAGATCCTCCCTCTCTAGTGCTTCCTCATCTTTCAGGGCCTCTCGTGTGGCCTTTTCTTTCCAGCAGGGAAGCCTGAACTTCTTAATGGCAGCTCAGGACTCCAAGAACAGAAAAGCAGCAGTCATCCAGCCCTTTTAACACCTGGGCTCAGAAGCCTAAGAATGGAATTCCTGCCACATTCCATGGGTCAAAGAAGTCCTGGGCCTGACCCGCATTCATTAGGGTGGAGAAATGGACTCCACATCTCATGGAGAGTGGCTCACACAGGGAAGGAGCAGATGAATAATCACCATCTTTGGAGACTATCATTCCACACCATTCAATACTCTTTAGAAGTGTGGTTTTTAATGATTGCAGAGATTTCTTTTGAACACATTTAAACTTTTTCATTTAACCAAAGTGTTTGCAATCTCTTTAGATCCTAAGATCTGCAGCAATAGTAGTCTCCAAACAAATTTATAGTGTCTAGTAAGGCAAACTGATGTCTGCATTCCATCCTACCCTGATCAGACTTCTCTAGGGCACTGAATTAATTTTTTTCTGAGTATTGCAGTTTTCACTGGATGTGGACAAAGTAGAACTTGTTTGAGAAATACTACTGGCATGGTGAGAGGCCTCACAGCCTTATTATGGAAAATGAAGAGGGAAAAATGAGTGAAAACTTGTATTAAAATAGTGCAGTGCTATTGGGGGAAAAGATGTTAAATCAATTTTGAATGGCTTCAGGAGGTAGCCCTAGGACTAAAAGAAGGAAGTAATAGGAAGACTTCAGTTAAAAGCATGGCATACAGTAATCCCTATGGTCAAACCTGCCCAAAGTGGAACAGAATTGGCCCAAGAGTAACTGTATTTCCTTTCCCTGGAACTGTAGGCAAAGAGTTGGCTGACACATGATAGGAGAGATGAGAGTGTC